GGCTTTTCTCATTCTCGAGTTATGAATTTTCCCGCCATAATTTTCACGTGCCCGTACGTAAGCCCCAGGCGCTCCTGGGCAGCTGAATTTGAAATCATTTTGTCGTACATAGGTAGAGAACATTATCCCAAGGTTTCAGCTTTCTTGCTTTCCTCGTTCCCGAGTTAGCGATTTTCGCGTCAAAACTTCCCCGTGCTCATACACGGGACTCAGACGCGCGTGAGGATTGAAACCGCGGTCCTGGGGTGGTACCTGGCTGGGGAACACACTGGCAAGATTCCAGCTTCAAAGCTTGCGTGGTTAGTGAGTTGAAATACCCGGACAGACGAACACACACACACACACATACAAACATACATACACACACACTGACAGGGTCGTTGCAACATGCGTTCTTGCTGCCTGTTGCAGCGGTCTAGCGCTGCACAGCAAAAACGCATAACTTAGTAGAAAGCGTACCGGCTGCCGGTACGAGGATGCGTTTTTTGCACAGTTCCCCCGCAGGTTTTTTTTCGCCAGTCGCACATTCTTCCTGGCAGATGCTTCTGGCTAAAAGAATTGGGACTGGCCACCACGACTGTTAGAAATTATTACAATGACTCCCAACTCATGCCCAGAAGATCCAGCGCTCTGGATGTTTCGGTTGCGGAGATACGTCAAATTTCAAGTGTTCGTACGTGAGTGGCAACGTGAATGCTTTCATCGCTCGCACCTGCTCAAACACGGTCATGGGTAGCGCTCAAAAAGTTTCAGCACTCCAGCTGCTCTGGTTGCGGAGTTTCAGCACAAATTTCACGCGTTCGTACGTGATTGGCAGCGCGAATGCTTTCTTCATCCGCAGTTGCTTAAAAACAGTCCTGGGTAAAGCTCAAAAAGTTTCAGCACTCCAGCTACTCTGGTTGCAGAGTTACGTCAAATTTCCCGTGTGTACACGTGAAACGTACGTGACACTTGAAAGTGGTGCGTAAGTCGTTTTCGCGTGCACTTGGTCAAAGGTCACCGTCGGTTATGCTCAGAAAATCCAGGTCCTCTGGCTGGTTCAATTTTGAAGTTACAAAAGCGCGTACGTGAAATTTTCACGTGTTCGCACGTGAGATGCAGAAGAGCTGACAAGTAATTTACTTACACGGGCACAACAGTAGGCAACAGGTAACGCTGCAAAATTGCAGCTCCCTGCAGCTTATCAGTCAGCTTAAATCTGGAGTTGGCATGATGCCAGTTTAAACTTTGACTTGTGCGTACGTGAGACCTGAAGGTGCGTGAAGGCTGAATTTAAAATCTTTGGATCAGACGCTGCCAAGAAACATCTCTGTGAAGTTCCAGCCTCCTCCTATGGGCCATTCCCGAAAACGTTTTCCCGCTAAAAAACTTTCACGTGCCCCTACGTGACCACGCAGACCTGAGCGCCCATTCAAAGGATACGAGCCCGCACGTATGTGTAGATTAATTCACCAAACTTTCAGCCTTGTAGCTTTTGCGGATCTCGAGATGAAAACTCGTTACAGACGCGCACATAGACACACACACACAAACACACATACAAACACAGACAATCCCTCGACAATATGCGTTTTGCATCGCATAGCTGTAAAAAACGTATGAAAAGGAGGAAAGAACCGTGTTGCAAAAGCATCACAACCGCTGTCGAATTCACGACACAACAACAAATAAATGGTCAGCGCACCGACTACCAGTGCGAAGATGCGTTTTTTGCACAGTTCACCGCAGGTTTTTGTTGCTAACGGCACCGGTTTTTCCTGCAGATGTTTTTCTAGCTAAACAAATTAAGACTGGCCGTCAGGACTGTTAGGAAACAACCCCTTAAAATTTTAGCTTTCTAGCTTTCTTGGCTCCCGAGTTAGCAACTTACCCGTAAAAAACTTTTATGAGCCCATTCATGGATGCCACGCATACCCTGTGCCTGGGTTTGAGCTCATTAACACCAACCTAGACGGGGAACGTCTGTTTAAAATTCCAGGCCTCTAGCTTCTCAGGTTTCCCAGTTAGCAACTTAGCCAAAAAAAACTTTTACGGGTGGGCACGTGGAACTCGGGTAGTGCGCCCATTTTGGGAATTGGGGCCCGTACTGTGGAATAAGTCCCCAAAGTTTCAGCCCTGTAGCTTTTGTAGGTCTTGAGATGAAAAATCGTTACAGACGCACACACAGACAACCCTTCGTCAATATGCGTATTCTGCATTGCATAGGTGCAAAAAATGCATAATAATTGTGATTATTTTCCAGAAGAGTCTATGCCCAGAGCTAAAGAGATGAAACGCAGTTGGTGAGGGCAGTGCACTGGGATGAACGCGGCAAACGAATTAATTAATAAAAATTTGAACGAAGAAATCTAAACCACGCGCGTAGCACAGTGGCACAGTGCACTGTGGAAGCCGCACCGCTGTGCACCTCTACAATCAGCCTTTCCAGAAGGACAACAAAAATTGGGGATAAGCTAAACCAAGTGCGGTCATCCAGGCGCAAAAGCACGCCGAAACAGCGAGAATAAAAGAACCAAGAAACGAAGGAGCAACAGAGAGTAACCTCAGCGGCGAATTCGTTACTCGGGCGGTGAAGAAACCCGATTCTCAGGGACTGACATCATATTAAAATTCTCTAAATTAGAAAGCAAAAAAAAAAATTCATTAAATTAGAAAGTAAAAATTCTGAATTTATGCTATAATGTTGTGACACGTCTCTGTTTCCCCAATTATTTTATTTTATATGTGCAATAATGGTGGTAGCGTACACTGCGTAGAGCCGGCTCAGTTCTTTAGAATTTTCCTTGCCATGTTCACATCGCTGCTCTACACCTTTACATTGGGCTACGTGTGTATGCATGAAATATGAACTGAAAAACAAAAGCATGGACAAAGACAAGGCAATTGATAGAAAAAAAAAGATTTAGTGGAAAAGTCTTTGGGGTGGGGGAAAAAACAAGAAAGATTATAACACAACCGTTCAAGTTCATAGATAGCCTTGTCTAGCACCGGCATCACTTGGCCGCGAGTGATCGGCGGAGTCCAGACGTCCTCTTCATTCACGTTTATTATTGCATCATTGATGCCTATCAGAAATGTGTCAACAAATGTGACTATAGTTCCAACGGTCGACGGATGAAGGGCGCACAGATTCTTTTGCTAAAAAACAAGATATCTTTCAGAACCGGATGAAAATTAATTTCACTGCTAGATGCTGAAACTTAAAACTCACTAAAATTTCACGGTTTATGGGACAGCAATACCGAATTTGAAATCCAGAAGAGGAAACTGAAGAAGGGTCTTCCTGGCCATGCCACCACTCCGGAATGCTACTTCATCAAATCATATTAGCTCGCAAGACAGAAGTACCGAAGTTTTTACCTGAAGAGCAAGTGCATGCATCCATAATTTGAAACAGCGATTTGTATCGCCCAAATCGCAGTATACGGCACCGCGGTAGCGTATATAATAGTGCGTTTCATGGTGTGCCGGGCCGACCACACGTTCGCGTATAATCAGCGCCTGAACGTGAAATAAAATATGGTATGAAGTATTTTTTAGCTCCCTCGTTCATCCTGCTTCTCTCACTCCCACTTTGAAATGGCAATTTTTCCATTGCCAAAAACACATGCTCACCTGCATCCTGATTGCTTCAGGATCATCAGCCACATTTCGCACATCCTGCTCCGAGTCTATCTCAAGCATATTTTCATATGCAGCGGTGGCACTGCGCGATGGAAGTGGATTGCCGATAGTGACCGCCAATAGCCAAGCTTGCACCGCTCCCATTATGTCCATCTTTTTATCAACCAGTGTAGCTCCATACAACTGAAAGAATTTAAAACAAATATCCATATATCACTTCATCTATGGCATGGTAAAAGTGGTATCTGTGATAATTTACTAGCGGATATACACTAATATCGCCAGAGAAATTAAAGGGTCCATTTGTACTCCCGCACGGAACAGCATGGATAAGGCCAGCTTAGAACAGACAGAATGGGTAAACTGCTGACTGTGCCGAACGAACATGACGATGAGATGATAGCTGCCGATCAGGGACTAAAAGCACCGACGAAACATACAAGACAACTGACAAAATGGATCGGATGTAAACGCATAACCCTAACGTAAAATGAACACAGCTCAAGTTTGTCCCACGAAAAACCGATCTGTGCGAAATTCGTTCCGAGTGCTTAATAGCTGGAAAACATGTCCTGTCTTTCCTTTTCATTCAGTTTCCAGAAGGACAAGCTGTAGCGATATCTGCGAAAAAGTAGTGATAATCGGAAAATTTGCGTTGCTTGTGGCGGTAATGTTTGACACTACAGATTAGTGTGTGAGTGACACAAATATAGATGGTACACTTGTCGGATGGAGCACAACTCTCATGAACAAAGCCCTTTCTCGAAAACTGTTCTGGACTGAGAGAGAATTGAACTACTCCTCTTCACGTCCGGACACAGTGCGTTACCACTACACCACTGCTCCTTGTGCTCCAGGTTCAGCCTGGCAGCACATCTACTGTGTATCTGCCTTTCAAGGCAAGACACCACTTTCTTTTTTTCCCTGTGGCGGTTTCTTTGTCAGCTTTTCGCAGGTTTTCTGCGACAAAAACGACCGCTCGCTTGACGAAAAACATGACACGAAGGATCTACAGAGAAAAAAAATGAGAGGTCCAATCCCCTACAGGCCCATACACATTTGCATAAAAGGATTCCAATCGTGTCACAAGCCATCGAAATCTTGCAGTTTCTGTTAAAAATTTCATTACTTAGGTGATCGGGGAATCTCTCTCGGGGACTTCTGTTAAAGATGTCTCCCCCCCCCCCCCCCCGTCTCTTCTATTTCACCCCACCTTCTATTATGAATCAGTGATGTGCGAATTTCAAACACACAAAAGTAGTTTTCTCATCTGAGGAGATTGTTTAGCAAAGCAGTCCACCTTGATCGCGTCTCTGGCTTCTTGGGGAGATGCTGCTCTGTTGGCCAGTGTGTACATGGCTGCCTCGTGCCCAGCCAATGCTGCGCAGTATATTGGCAATACGCCACCATCGTCCGGGACATGCTTAGCGCCGGCATCCAAGAGCATAATTATTATTTCTTTAGAGCCTGATTCAGCCGCATCATGTAGAGCCGTATTCCCTAACAAAAGTACGGAAAATGACAGAACGATCACAGGCTCACAAAAAATTTTCAATACGGAGCTAACTGCACTAGAAAATTCATCGGCGAAAAACTTATCCAACGTACAAACGCACATGAATTACCGGAAGCTAAGTAAGATTCATCATGAGAAGCACAGCTTGCAAATTTCAGGAATTTTACTTCACACCCGTTTTTGCTGGATGAACTTTGCAGGCCCCTGCTAAACGATCGGCTGCCTCCAAAGGAACCCGAAGAACACAAAAATTTGCACGGATTTTTTGATTTTTTAGGATGTGCTTTTTTTTATTAAACAAAACGAGCATTTAAAATACGCGAGCAAAAGACAGATAACTGCAAAAATTTAAAAATCATTGAACTTAGCTATTTGGAAAACTACACAGTTTTGGCAGCTCGAACAGTCAGGGCATTCAAACAGTGCACCGTTGCATCATTATCTCAGCAGCAAATCCTTTCCAGACTGTCGTAACTGAAGCTGCATCATTTGATGTTCAGCCTGTTACTAATATTCCCGGCGTTTATTTCTTTGTTTTTTTTTTCTAAGTGCTAGTTACATCACATTTTCCCCAACAATCTTCTGTGGTCCGTCAATTCGTACTTATTCAGACAGTCGTACTTATTCGTTTCCATAACGCTTATCATTCTTAGAGGGAGAGTGGCATCGGAAATGAGCACTCCTAAACAGCTGACCTGGGATGCACACGTCAAGAACTACACTTAGAAGTGACCGCTGTGGATTTCTCCAAATGTCAACAGAAGAAAAAAAAAACCTCTGACGGAAGCGCGGAGTGGATCGGCTCCGCGTGCCAGCAGGAACTGCACAACAGATGCTCGCATTCGAAAAGCTGCAATCATCAGTGGCGTATGTCCGTGTTGATTTGCCAGTTCGATATTTGCGCCTTTTTCCGCGAGATATTTAACTAAATATGCAAATTCTAAGATCACTGATGAATAATTCAATGGGAAAGCATTTGAAATGTTTGATATTCCAGACGATTTGAGCATTCTCACTAATGCTGAAGTATATGCGTCCCAAAAGCACACACCGTTTTCCACTTTTTCATTATTAACAGGCACTAAGAGAAACTCTTTGCGTATCCGCTACAGAGGATGAGAATACAAAGCTGAGCAGTGGCGTTCGGATGCAAAATCCAGAGTGGCAAAAGATCAGCGGAGAAGGCTTCAATTCCATGAACTACAGGACCCGGTTCCACAGGCTCAGGATGGTGGAATCCGGTAGCATATGCTGAGTGATAAGATATCAAAATGCGTATGTAATGCGTAAGCGATGCGTTGTAAAGCCGCCGCCTGCTGACTTGGTCTGCCTTCGCGCAATCAGAACTTTTTCAGCTTAAATAACAATTAAAATGGGAACCTATTTCAAAATGGCCATCGTAGCATGCGCCTCGTAGTGGCGTGCTGTGAGTGCCGGTGGTCTGGTTGACATCTGCATGGCCCTCTTCAACCAGATACTGCACAATATCCAAGTGTCCCGCAGCTGCTGCTGCCCACAATGCTGGTACTTCCGCTAAAACACAGCAAAAATGACATTCAAAAAACGATACACTTTGCACATCCCTCCAACCACTCATTTTCTCCGCGCAAAATGCTCCAGCATTAGAAATTGACGGAAACAAATGGCTTTTCAGTCTTTACAGCTCGCAAACTCGTGTGTGATATACGTTAAGCAATGAACACTCGGATGACCGCCGAAGTGCCGGTGCAGTGGTGCCAGGCAGTTCAAGACAAACAGACATGAGCTTTACCGCACTCAGCCCGCGGCTGCAGCTCAGTAAAATGGCGCACTTCATAATCATAGTATCGTAATCCTAAATGTTAATTTGCTAGACTAGTGGTGTACCCTGTGCGCATGTGTAAACACCTAGTTATACACATATTTATAATTACATGGCTTAACTAAAGTAATATAACGTAACGTAGGATAAGAAAAGACAATACAAGAAGAGTGATGAGGTTCTGGGGAGCCGAAGCTCAAAAGAAGTCGAAAGAAGTAGCTTCCTCGAGTAGCTCTGGAAATAGTTAAGATGGGGAAGAGTGCTTTTATACCTCAGGGATCAGAAATTACTAAGGTTGCGAAACTTTGACGGGGTAGGGTGTCCAAAGGTTGAACCAGCGAGCGGGGTACTGCATCATAGTGATGCAACTGTTCCTTACGCCATTTCTAACAAAAAATCATAAATCACTATTTGATATATTATGTGACAATAGCCTGCAGCTGGACTTTCAGAAATTCTCACACACAAAATTATTAGAGTGGATAGTGCAGTGTGTACAGTAAAATAACATACGTATCAAGTCGCCATCAAATGTAACCGAGCCTGTAATGTGAACATCGGCCCCTTTTTCCACCTAGAACGTGGTTCAAATAAAAAAAGGATGGATAAGTGTATAAAACAATAAAACATCTGGCAATTAAGCCGCAGAAAAAATAAAATGCATAAGGTGAAACGACTTGTATCAGCAAAAAATTACTATCGGTTTACGATTTTTCCCAATGGAAAACAACGTATACACAAACAGACACACACACATGCATATGCAAACATATACGCAGAAAAACAAGCACAAAACGCACACATGCACACACAATGCAGAAAAACACGAATACAAACATGGCATAAACACACATATACATGACATACAAAAAAAAAACATGCATACAAACGCGTCTAAAACACATACACAAACACAAAAAATACAAGCTTAAATGCACACACACATACACACACACATATATACATAGGGAGATAGAGGAATTCATTAAGACAAGTCAGTGTTAAGTAATGCAGGTACAAACCCATTAGAAGCAGCATGATGGCGATGAATAGCCACTGGTCAGGCGGCTCATAAAACATCAAAGTCAGGCAATCCCAATTAGTGTACGCTACAGAGCGAAAAATAAAAATCCCAAACACGCAGTTTCAACAGAGGTTTTTTAATAATCGGCTTCGGCCGTTGCAGCAGTGTACAACGATTGTTACAGTAATATGAAGTGCTACAGTAGGATGTCAGGACTACCATACAAACCGGATTGAGTGATAAGTGATAAGTTTTCTCCCCCATGAGCTACTCCATTAACTCCATGGTCCACGGCTATCTACAGTATCTCCCAGGTTCAAACAGTGGAGCGTCAGACTGACGACAAGAATGTGTTTTTGCTGGCATTACCCACTTCCAGAAGTTCACGAAACTGATCCGGGGACCTGCAAGGTGCATATTTTCATCAGATCCAGGAAAGCGCACAACAAGTGAACATTTTCCAAGGATCACGCAGCTCCCCAACTCAACAGAGCGACGAAGGGGTGTAAAAGAAAAGGAGAAAAAAAGAATGGTAAATCTAACCAGGTACTTGACCACATCCAGATGACCGTTCCTCGAGGCGATAACAAGCGGTGGTGTGCCGATCTCGCCCGGGCCCAGACAATCCTGGATCCACGTGTTCGACCGATCTTCCAAAAAAACGCGCAAACGTCGTATGTTACCGTCACGTGCCGAATTGAAAACAATCGCTCGATAAGCATCCGGATCCATCGCTGGACAGTACGGCGGGGAAGCCCTGAAAAAAAAGCACGCATGCCCCTGTGCACAACAAACAACAGCAACAAGAGTAACAGATCAACCCACTACCACCGAGACCAACGTCAGCGGGCCAGGCCAGGTCCCTCACCGCTGATTCCGTGGCGTGAGGCCCTGTGCAACGCCAGGTCCTAGCCAAAACAGCCTGGAACAGACGAGTGTTAAAATGAGGTAAACAGCAGGGCATGCCCAGAGGG